ACTTTAATTAAAGATTAGCCACACATCTGAGCAATCTCTTCATCACAGCTCTGCAAGACAGCACTTGTCAAGCTTGCCTCAGTCTATCCTTGGCAAACAAGCACATGACTTCTGCTGCTGTGTGACAGTGAAGAACTCTAAAACAGAGTTGCATTCCCCTAAGAAATGTGGCTAATGTCTTGCATCAAGGGAACTGACAGGTGAAAATAACATTTCCTTTGAACAGCTATCAACACAGCAGTCATACTGGCAAAGTTAAGGAGCAGATGAGAAGCAAGGTTCTACAGCAACATTTCTTCACAGAAGTTTTCTCCTCTCTCATACTTTCCTCTTCCTCCAATGCAGGTTAGCAGTATTGCTTTAAAACGGGGGAATTTGGTGCACGTAGCGTCTGATAGACTGAACATAAAATCTGGACTTTGTTCAGACAATTTACAGTGGTACATCCACACTAGCTCTTTAGCTCAGATAAGCAGCATGCTTTTGAGGTCAATCTCCCAGCTGCCCCCATTTAGTAAGCTTTGATCAACATCATAAATATATTTTGATGCTCACACAAACAGTATTCTTTTCAGGAAAAAAAACAAAAACAAACAAAAAAACCCCACCAAACATGCTTAGAAACACAACTGTTTAATTTTAGGTGCTAACAGACATTCAGATCATGATTCAAGTGGGCTCGGTCCCTATCAGCAAATGAAAACAAGACCTCTCTGAAATCTGCTTCTCTCTTTCTCCATGAGACACTATTTGCTAACAAAGAACAATGGAAGCATCAATGTCCATATTTTTCTCTCAGTATCAAATTACACCCAAGTATTCCTATTATAAGTCAACATTTCGTAGTGTGTCTGGTGGTTCTCAGCACAGCAGTACTTGCATAAATACACTGTGTACTTAACTAAAAGTTCAATATCTAAAAGAAATTTTAAAAAATAAATCAAGAATTTTGAAACACAGTATCAAAGTACTGGATTACAGAACTTGTCATACATGGGATATCCATAATTTATCTATGAAATATTACTCTTGAGAGTAATCATAATGCTACTGAGTTCCACTCTGTACAGAAAAATGACAGGTTAGAATTTCTTCTCATCTTGTCACAGTTTCCTGGTCCTATCCCTTCTGTCTTTTGCTATAGAACTTAGCTGTACAATCCAGAGGATAGAAAGCACAAGCAAACACTGAGTTCGGCAATTCTTTTTCTTAGCATTATCCTCATTAAGAATAGGTGATATACATACATATATACTGATAAGCATGTATTTCCACTCATGAGCATTAAAGTAAATCAAAGAAATTATTCTAAATCAAATCCTCCATGAAAACTATATTTGAACAAAACAGAATTACAGAACGGAGCTCAACATTAAAAGAATAGCGCTGCCTGCTTCTCATAAGTGCTTCTCAAAACGCTTCTGAGTGGGTCAAGCATTCTTCTTTTTCCAGTTATTCAGTTCTACGTATAATTTCTGACATGTCACTTTACAAAGTGTAACATACTACTCCAAACTTTTAGAATATAAGTGATTGGAAAGGGCAAGTGGGAGTTCAGTGATTTCTACACAGAAGCAGAGCACACCTTGTTAGAATCCTTGCTCTCTTCATGTGAAATAGAGCACTTCTTACAGAGAGAGCAACTATGCAGCGATTCCTGCTCTTAAACCTGATCTTATGAGACTCTGAGGAACATAAACTACTTTATTTTTCTTTAGAAAAATATGCCTGGAAAGGATTTCCTGGTCACTGTGTTCTTTTACTATCTCAGGCAATTAAGACGTACTACTTCCATCAGTTACAACTAGAGAATTAAATCCGACCACAGTTCCCCACAATATCAGGGAATTAGTTAATGAAAGTGCCCTGTTATTCGTAGAAATCAAACTGATGGGCTGACCACATCAACTCAAACCTGCCAACTGGTTTTCCTCTATCTTCCTCTAAAGATTGAATTTACTGAAATAATGAAACTGAGGATTTCAGGCAGTACAAACACACAGAATACCTTCTTCCTGGAATCATTTCTGTTTTGTTATATATCTTTCCCATATTTTTTGAAAGAGTATAGCTTCTCAAAAGGAACATATTTAAAAAGAAAGCTCACTTTCTGTCCTGTGAACATTGCATTCACCAAACCTGAGTTAGTTTGGTTGCACATGAACCCATCGCTCAAAGCCAAACCCACAGACCCTACACAGATCACTATCAACATAAGTTTACCCTTTACTGCTTTTCCGTATGATGGGGTAACAAAGCAGCTACATGTGGTTCAAGAATGATCAAAATGGACCTCAAAGCCTTGGGATGTCTGCTGAAGGAATCGAGGGCACAGATCATCTTTACATCTGCTTTCTGTAAGGTCACTGAAAGAACTGGAAGGATCCAATCTATAAACACTTGGCTTTATAACTAATAACACCACCAACACTTCAGGGTTTTTTGACAATGAAGTAACCTACATGGCACAAGGCTTGCAGTCACCAGACAGATTCCACTGCTCTCATAAGGGGATGTGGGGATGGGTTTGTGGGGAAAAAGCTAGCAGTACTCACTGGCAGGATTTTGAATTAAATTTGAAGTGGAAGAAGGCTAACAGTGAGCCTGCCCATGGAAAGGCACAGGATAGCACAGACAGAGGGTGCTAGAAGGGACTCTCTATCTGCTATCCTGAGACGTGCTGGCAACGCTGCAGCACAGTTGAAATCTTACAAGTCAGTGGCAACTAAGACAGTGTAAGAAGGTAACAGGGAAACTCAAGAGAAATCACAGAATAGCTTAGATTGGAAGGGACCCCCAAGCTTCAAAGTTCCAATCCCCTTACATTTCTTAATGAAAATACTGGAAGACAAATGAACTGCAGCGTACTCTTGCTATATTTGGGGGAACAAAGCCTTTGTATTCTGTTCACATAAGGTCTAAGTAAACACACCTGCCTAACTACATGGGCTATGCTCACAAAGAGATTGCCAGAGAGCCGGGTATTATCTCATCTTTTTGATCAACCCAGGAACCTCAACACTGTTCCTCTGCGGAACCACTGCGGAATGGGTTTACGAGGAGGCATCAGAAATAGCCCTGTAAGAGGACTACCAAGCTTTCTTGGAACAATAAGTAAGAGAGAAAGGGGGGAAAAATAATGAATGCAGGCTCATACTTAAGCGTTGCCCCACTTAAGAACAACCACACACAATAAAACAAAACCACCAAAGAGAGCGCAGTATTCTCAGATTGCTGCCATACAAAATACAAAGAAGCTTTACTTTTTCTTCAACATGCCACTGATGCAAGCTTTGAGTCTACTAGAAAGTAACTAAATTTTAGGATGTACACAGACTTCTATACTTATTAAAACCATCTAGATATTGACACAGCAAGAAGCAAAAAACACATAGAAGTAAACAATTTTTTTCATACAGTTCAACAGATCTGGCCTAAGTAACTGCACAAGAACCACTACAGTGATCCCCAAAACAAAAAAATAAAACCACAAAGATACTAATATAGTTCTAATGGTAGAGCTATAGAGCTACTTGTGTATTAATAGATCAGAGCCAACAAGAGGCCCAGATCCTTGCTATATGGAAAAACTTAACTCTAAAGTTTGAAAGACATTTTAAACATAAGCTTCTGTAAATTGGCAAGCTAAGATCAAGCTTCCATTTAACAGTTTAGTTCTGCTGACTGAAACAGAAGAGAGTATTAAACACTTATATGGATACAAGGCTAAGAATACATATGTAGGACTTCTCTTTTTATAACAAGTGCTCCAAAGCCAGAATGCAAATAATTCTTTTAGGATTCAAATAAAGAAGTAAAGAGACCTTCAAATGCTTCATTGCCACAGATTCAAAGTACTCACGAAAACTTTTACCACCAGATCATTTGGATGACAGTTTTCAAGAAATAAAAGGCAAAACTAGAAATTTAAGTACTATGTTCATTACATGTTGCTGAAGTTCTGAATTCCAGACAAAGTTAAGACTATCATCTCCTGCACTAAAATTTTGTCTGCATGCCCACAGATGTCTCTGTACAACACCTTTGATTTCATTTTCCTATCAAGCCATGCTTTATTCAAGCCTTTCTAGTAATCAACTATTATTCTCTTTGAAACTGGTAAACTACTACAAATAAATCAAATCAGAAAACTGATCTAAGTGGACAGATCACAGAGGAAGGGGCAACTGGAAAGGGCCTCCACTTTTCTCTAAAAATCTGGAAAACAGAGTATCCTTTCAGTGTCTTGTTAAAGTTGCAGACAAATATGAGTCAGTCACAGAGCAGAGAAGAATTTAAGCAGGGAAAAGTAAGAGCAAAGAGTACTTTGTTATCTAGTCAATTGAATACAAAATGGACAAGTTTAATAACATGGGGATCGACTTTGGTACCAGATAACTGTCTGTATTTATTTTGCATAATGAAAAATTATTTTCCTTCAGCCCTCAAATCCACTTTATAAATCCCTGGAACTTATGTAGCATTTTTATAAGTATCAAATAACTTCATTTTGAGGGTTACAGATGTCAAGTAATGGTTCAGTGGCAAAAGGTAATTTAAAGACCTCTTAAATTCCTCCCCTTTACTCTCCAAAATGTCCCTTAGAATACCCCACCACATGCATATATATTCTTGGTACAGCTGAAGTACTTTTGAGTGCATAGCACTATATTACTCTTTGTTACTTAAACAACAAATAACACTAGTGAAAACTAAGTTTTGCTTGTGAATAATCCTCTGAATATTCCACCCTTCTTTTGATTCACTTTATAGGGCCAAACTAGATGTCACACTGAAAATGAGAAAGCTATATTTAAAATATTTTTTAAATATGACTTCCAAAAATATGCATTACTACATAAATGACAAAACCCTATAGGGGAAGCCAAGAGTGTCTTCACAATATCAAAGCAACACAGAGCAAAGAGGAAAGTAAAAGCAAGTGAGCTTCTGCGCAAACAGAATTTGCTTGCAGAAATAAGCAAATAGAGTAAGTCTACCTGTTGGAGGTCCAGCGTAATAGTCACGTAATGATATTCGATCCCATTCTGGATACTAGGGCTTTGCCACCAAGTGTTCTTGCCATCAATTGCATTTGTTATTGGATGTCGTTCTGTTAGGGCAACAGAAATGCGTCAATATATCTAAGTATGAACAAAAGACTTAAATGGTTTTAGACCTAAATTCTAGATTAAAATTACAAACACAGAACAAATGAGGCAGCACATCAAAATAAAATAGGAAACTGCTTTTTCTCTTGGAGCACAGCTCTATGGTTATTACTGCAAAGCTAATCTAACATTAGTTCTTTGATCTTGTTTAGCATCACAAAGACTTCTTAAATACAATTGGAAATTCTCCTGATTCTGTAGGAAATGAAAGTTTCTAAATCACATGGTGTGATCACTTTACACACTTCTGAATTTTCAAGTACTGCTAAGTCTCTAATGCTGTAACAAATCAGGATCTTGATATGCATTGTGCAGAGAAACAAGAAATTAATTATGGCAGTTATATTTCTAAGCACACGTGGCAATAATTTGGCAATCATAACTTATGAATCATCTCATCTTAGTTACATAATATATTTCCCAATTGGAAAATTGTCATACTCATCATATACGTCTACAAAGATGACTCAAAGATTTATAAACTACTCATATCACAGTCCAAGATTAATTTTTTCATGTCCCCATACTGTGCTGAAGTACCCCAAATAAATCTTGAGCAATTTGGCCATAAGTTTACTTACAGAAGAGAATTAGTCTTAGACTAATTCTTAGATTAGTCTAAGTTACTGAAGTTGTCTTATAAAGTATTTTGATGTTACTTAGGCTGAGAAAAATACCACTCTGGTCTGGGTTTTATGTCCAAATCATGATTCTTATCTGTATGGACTGGAGAATATCAAAGCCTCAAGAAAAGAACCTGATGTATTTTGAACTCCTTAATTACCTACAGCAAGCCTATACATCATGGTTAAAAATAACCCAAAGATAATGAAATACAACAGTGTATAAAACTGGAATGTGCTTCATTATTAGCTCATCCAAGGATTCCAAAGAACTTACGCATGAACTGATTAATTTACTTGTTATTCTAATTAATATTTAAATCAACCATTCAGATTGATAGTCTTTGTGTCTCTGTTTTCTTGCTACATCAGCCACCTGTGGAGGACAGGAACCCTATCTCATGAAAGAAAGCTAGAACGCCTAAACAAGTTTAAAGATATAATTAAAGGGCTTTGAAGAAGTGAAAGAATAAGCCTGCAAAATTGGAAATGTAAAAAAAAATATAATTTAAAAATCAAATTATTCAATGGCATCAGTGAGCAATAACCCTTTAAAGTTACAATCCTTGCATTAGAAAGTGGTGTTATTCTCATAGAGAAAAAGAAAAAAATACCTATGTTTTACATTTTGTCAATTCTTACAGCTCTGATCATATTCACAAACCTTAGCTTTAAATGAGAACTAGCAAAATCCATCTGTAAATCAATCTCAGTGAATCTGAGTGGTTGTGACAAACTGTCCAATTGGAAATTTTGATGCAAGTCTCTTCAGGAGAAATTGATAATAAAGATAAATCACGAGAAGGACAGACGGGAGATGAAAAACAATTAACTGTAATTATCATTACGAGAGTTTAATCACAATTTGAAAACACTGATTAATTGCTAGCATATTTTATTTATTTTAAAAGGAAGGGAAAACACAGTATTTTTCAAAATGAGCTCGATTGCAAATGCAGTTCAAGGACCAGCCTCTCAGGTGGATGACAAAGGGAGAGAATTTAGAAATGAGACCAATCTCTATTCTTTAATTTGGGCTCACATGTGATTAACCAGGGAATTTGTGTTCATTTCCTCGAACAGTAATTAAGGGGAGACACTCCAGACTTGCACATCCCAGGGAGATAATTTAAAGTCTGGTTATATTACATGGTTCTCCTATTAGCAAGCTATCTCTGTTTAAATAAAGCACTTCCTTCTGCCAAATGAACATTTAAAAACCTCAAAATGAGATGATGTTGGCTGCAAAAAAGAGTTTCTCTGAATTCAGGCAGACTCAAGTTTAGATGAAGGTATGAATGAGGAGAATCACATTATTCAAATGGGGTATGAATGATGTGCATGCATGTTCAAATGCACTTCTATAAGAGAAAAGAATAGAATCTATTGCATGGTGCTTCTACCAGTTAAAATGCTACCAAAACACCATAAATCTACTAAGTGACAACCACTGCTATGATATAATATGTCATTTGAATGCTGCAATTCAATTGTCTGACTTTTCAGAGAAGGCAGCATTTACTACAATTAAAGATGACAAAATCTGAACAACAATTTTGTGGGAAAAGAGTATGCTGCAACATAACTGTGTTGGTAGTTGTCTATGCTGGAGCAATTGTAATTGGCTCTGCAAATACAAGATGGGTAGCAAATAGATAGGTAATCATTTAGCAGGAGAGTATTTAGAGACAACAATGGCCAACTAGCTAGATGTCTCTCAACGGTATCAAACTATTAGAATGGTGACATATCTAAGTTAGATGTATAAATTGGAATATGATCTGCTTATTTGGAAGAAAACCTGAATGGCTCTGCAGTGCTGATGATAAAAGCTCAGGTGAATTTTAACAAAGATGAAAACATCAAGAGAGAACTGCAAGAAATGCAGCTTGCTTAGTTCTAGATAACACAGTCAAAGTGGAGGAAGACACAAAAGGGATAGCTAAGTGTAGAAAAAAGACAGTAAAAAGCTTTTGTCTTCTAGAAATAAGAGTTTTGGGAATAATCCATTCCCTTTATCGGCTAAGATACTCAGCAAAATCTGACAGTTAGTTCTACTGAAGTCTTACTGCAAGCCCATGTGAAATTACACTAGTATGACTTGTATGATCAAGAATGAAGTTCTCTTATTTCAATCTACCAAACTAATAATAATTAATAGCAACATGCATCTCTGGATCCAATGATAAATTTACGTGGAAAATTACTTTGGTTACTGATAGCCTTAAGAAAAAAAGCCATGAGTGCACTGATCAATTTTCATATTAAATCTTAAGATAATGGAAAATTACTTAGTTTAAGTGCTTATCTCCTATTTGCTGGCTCAGTGAAAATTAATCACCATCAAGCTAAGAAAGCCTCAAAACACAATAAAGCATAAATGGAGTTGAGCTCTTCCCCTTCTCCTCTAGCTCAGTTTTGAGATGCTGCAGGCTGAAATTTCAAATTCAGCATACAGGTATACAGAGGACAGTAATCTGTTTTTCATTAATGGTCAGCATACAGCAGAAGAGTTCAAAAATATCTGTAGATACTTAAAAATACTTAGGTTGTCCTAGGTCTGAACTCCAGTGCTTCACTTAAAAGATTCGATTAGAGTACACAAAACAGATTTTGAAATACTGGTAAAAGAAACAAGCATCCTCAGCAAGAATAAGAATAGTCATTTTATAGTAGTTAGAACAATGACAAACAGCTTTGTCTGCTGAGTATTTGATACTGTTGTGAAAAAAAATTGCATTTAAAAGAAATAAATGAAAAGAGGGCACACTTACGGTGTGGAAGCCTACTCCTTTGATCACAAATACGGCACTGAGGGTTCCTTGCAGGCTGTCCGGGAACATGCTCAACAAGTTTGCAGTACATTTCCCGACCCTTTTCTCCACAGGTAGCATTGGTTGTGATGAGAGCATTAGTAGCCAAGTTCAGCACTGCAGGAAACAATCCTGCAAACAAAATGAAACAAAATTATCAACAAAAGCAACAAACACAAAGCCATAAAATCACAAACAAACATAACATCTGTTATTGCATCAAATCAAAATGCTTTGTTTTCAACAACCTTAGAAGCAGCAAAGCAGAAAAACCACCAGCAACTTCAGCTTTGAATCCAAAACTCAGATTAAAGCAATTATATAGGTGATTTCTTTCTCACTCCCTTCTAAAATTCAAATTGGTTCCCTCTGATTGTATCCTTGAGCAGCAGGATGCCAGAGGACAAAAGAAAGTACAAAAACATACAAAGCACCTTCCAAATTTTTTTTTTTTTTTATAATCAAATAATTATCATGACTGCTTACACAATGGACTTCAAATGATTGTAAACAAACTACTTATGAAAGCTTTCTTTCTGCTTGCATCCCCATGAAAAAGCTTTTATCTCACAGACTACATCACTTGTGTTACACTATGTTACCATTCTGCTTAAGACCTCATAGTTACCCTTACTATCAGATGAACTGAGTAATTAATGCAGCAACAGGAATAACATCTGCCATGTACATTTTGCTTCCTGCCATCCTTTCCTCAAGAAGAGGATAATATATGCAACTTCATGTCTTTTATAGCAGTACCGCTGTTATTTTTTCCAAGTGCGCATGCTGTGTGATACAATTTTCATTCAGCACAGCACTTATGCGCACCTGAGTACTCTGCTGAAGTGAGTTCTGGGTAGCAATAAGCAATAAAATTATAATCCATATGAAGAACCATCATTAACGTGGCTTATTCTCACTTCCAATAAACACTAATCAAAACCATTGAGCTATGATAAAATTGATTCATGAAGACAGACTGACACGATGGGTTGAATGTATACATTAACCTTTCACATGGAATTAATCAGTTTTGCATCCTGAAAAGCATAACTCGCCATAGCTGGATGTTAAACCAAAGCAACAAAAAAAATTCTGAGGCACAAACCAGGATAAACTTCAGGTGTATTTAGTGACAGTTTGCATTGTTCTTACAAAATACTTTCAATTTATAAACTTATTGCATTATTATAACCTTAAAACAAGGCTTTAATAAAAACTGAATTTGCAATTACTATACACCGATAAAGCTCTCTTTATAATGACATTTTTCTCATTCACAGATAAAGAGCACTATTCAGCAAACTCCTTCCAATACTTTAACTGCAGTCTCCAGTCTGCAATTAACCTGGATGCCATTTAATTACCAAGCTTGGATGGTCATGGTACAGCTGTCCTCTGACATTGTGAGTTAGTGACTCACAACTCACTTTAAAACCATATTAAAGCTACTGCTTGTTCAAAGCAACCAATTAGTTACTAACCTGTGCAGTCTGTTCAGTCAATCAATAGTTTAAATTCTATTGATTTTGTACAGATTCCAGCCCAATTTCACCACATTCAAAAATTTATACATTTGCTCTTGCATCTTTAGTCAATGCAATCAGTGATATTTGCTGCCTTCTGCAACAGGGACACATGGAAAAACAGTGTAAGCATAAGGAGAGTAGATGAATTAATAGCTGTGAATCTTCCTGTGTTGACTTACAGCCTCATTATTTTCTTTTAGACTGCATAAAGCTAATAGCCTAAAAGCTAGTAATCACTTAGTTTTTTTTAACACAGTCTGGCATTTGGTTTGGAGTTGAGCAGTTTATTTAGGGTCCTGCTAAAAAGAACCCAGTGGTACTATGTGAAGCAAATTGCAACATGTGACAGCAAGACAATTCTTTTGAAAAAAAAAACAATGGAATAGCTGAAAAAGAACAAGCAAAAAGCCTCTATTATATAGCATTATATAGCTCCACAGAGCTATAAAAATATACACATAGTATGCCTATACACAAATTATATACATGTTCTAAATTTTACTACAATTTTAATGTAAGAGGCATAGATAAAGGTAGTGTACTTAAGAAGCTCATCATTTAGAACAAAAATAGACTTGCAGGCAACATCTTTAAAGTGCAGTGCAACACAGGCCACACAGCTTTGTGCATAGTCAATATATACACAGGCACCTAAACCAATATTCAATGCTTCACTGAAGAGACTGTGTCATGTGCGTCACATTCCACTCCTGGCAGGAATTCCTCACAGGAATGAATCTGGCAGGAAGAGACCAAGAGATGTTCAAAGTGCTTCAACACCACAGCCAGCACTCAGGTTCTATACTGATGATTAATTTTAACAAATTTAAATTCACAGTTATCAACTGCCAATTTGAACTTCTTTTTAAATAGTTTCTGTTATAAAGATGAAAAAAATAGTACTTATATTTGGGCCTAGAGCTTTTCTTGAAGGAACTGAAGGGAAATTTTCTGCATCAGGTTGACCTTTTGGGATGCAAGGCAATTCATTTTACCTTGAATGGGAAGTGGAATTCATATTTTCTTTCCTTTAAATTAGTATTTCCTACCATGTGGTGCCATATTTAAACACCAAGTCTCAGACAACATTTATGTAATTTTTAACTGTTGTAAAATGGACGTTTACCTAAAAGGAGCTCTCCTCTGCCATATTGTTTCCTGAATTGTAAATTATAGAGAGCTGGCTATTTCCAGTGAATATCACTCACAATGTTTATTGTTATTTATAGATCCTTTAGAGAAAAAACTCAGATCTGCTTTATTAACCAGCTTAGTTATCCTGTGACCTATCCAGTGCAGGAAAGAGACCTCATTTACAACAAAGCTCAGATTGAAGTCATTGATGACATTAACCTACCTGGGGCACAATCAAAACCAGAACAGGAAGAATAGAAATTCTACTCTGCCTATTAAGGAAGGGGTGTAAGAAGCATACAGTTTATTCCCATATCATTTTTTTCTCTGTGGCAGTTTGCAGGTTTTCTTAGATTTTTATAGGAATGTAGCATGTAGCGGTTAATAAAGCAAAAGCTCTGCCCATCAGCCTGAAAAATGAAGTTAAGCTCCACACTAGTTCTGGAACATAGTGCTTTACATAGGCCAAAATAAGGCTTTGTTTTTAAAGTATACTTGATCTGCAAATTCGATGGAACTGAGAAAACAATGTTTTTCATATTGCATTCTATCAATTAATAATGCTTCAACAAAACAGGCATGAAACTCCAGAAATGCAGAAGATTAAAACATTTGTTGCCCTTAATTCTTAAATTAGGCTCTTTGAATTTGAACCAAAAATAAGAATGCTTATGATGCTAATATATACTGTCTATTCAACTACAGCCACCAAGAACTAGACAGGAAAGTTGCGAACACCTCACTTCATTTTGAGAGTTTTTCCTTTTTTTTTTTTTTAATAAGACTAATGATGCAATACAAATACTTTAAAAGTATACAGATTTTATGCTTTTTCTCAATTGTTCTTTTAAAATTTTATTTAATTATCAAACTCATCTTGAATTCTATAGGCAGCCAGCTGTGAAATACTTCCAAATCCTGATCTACTATAGTTAGACAGAACTTCCTTCTTTATTGCCAATATCGTCAGTAAATAATTGCTCCAGCATAAAGACTGGGTAAAATACATCTGAATCAGAAAGACATTCTCTATTTTGTGCAGATCAAGTGCAAGCAGGTAAATTCTAATCCTTTCAACTGCTAGCTGTATCAATCTTTTTCCCTCCTTTATGTTAATTAAAAAAAAAAAATACAACAACATTTCTTTCTGCCTTAAAAAAAAAATTCCCCAATCCTAGAAATTGAAAGGAGAAAAGAGGTGGAAAAGGCTTGCATGTAAATAGACAGTAATTAGGCTTGAACAACTTGGGTTCAACATCTGGCTGTGAATAGATAGGTATGACCATCTTTCTGCTTTTGACATAGATCTATAAGCATGCAACATATGCCATGGAGTTATTACACATCGAAGCCTGTTGGCTAGTTTTTCTAGTGTTGACAGACAATTATCTATGGAAGGAAAACACCACAAAAACTAATCAAGTTCTTTAAAATGGTATATCGAACAAGGGCAGTTGAAGTCTACATACAAAATGAAACTTCAGTTCTTACCAAACTACTGATGATGAACATAGCACACAGTGTCAAAAGAAACGCTTAAAAAATTGTTAAATTGAACAGCAGTAAATAAGGAGGAATAAATAGGTCATTTTTACCTACAAACTCTGATGAACATGAGTTTGCATTGCCAGTCTTAAACATTTAAATAGAGTTTGTTACCTTAGTGTTAGCTACAGTGCCAGTTTTATTTAATGATTTCTGGATCAAAGTAGACCTGAACATCTACTTTAAAGAGAAAAAAAAAAAAAAATAGTGGATGCTTGGATCAGCAGAAGCATGTAATACACAAGTAGCAGGTACAAGACATTTTTGGAATCTAATAACTTTAGGCTTTATATCTCATTCTCACTCACCTCTCAAACAGCCCTATTTGATTGACCTTCAGAGCACACTGCAAGTTCTAGCAGGTTTCCCATGCTGAGAGAGGACGTAAGGAGTGAGGAGATCATGGACACTAACTATAACTTCAGCTGCTGAATGGTGATTACTGGTTCATTATCAAGTGGGGATGTTCACTGGGGCAATCTACTTTTAAAGTGTGTCAAGGAACAGCTACAACAAAGGAGAAATAGTGGGATGTAAATGAAATAATTACTTTGTACTAGTCTTTTTACTATTTAGCAGTTTGTTTTTTACTTCCTTACACATAACCTATGGAGAAAGATAAATCTCAACATGACATCCTACACTTATTATTCAATACCCAGATTATTTTTACACAATCAGATCAGCACTGCATTTTTCTGAGAGAAAAATTCATGTAAATTAAAGCAGTCCTTGCATACTAGGAAAATGACAATTTAAAAAACTCTTTTTTTATGTAGTATTTTAAGCACACTTCCAAGACAGAAGTCAAACTTAGGCTTAGCAGCTTTGAGATTTCTTTGTCTTATTAAAACATTAGAACTGAGAAAGTGTTTTTCATCTTCAAAGAAAGCTCCTTTAAGACATGCATACTCCTCTTTTCTA